GGTGACAGAGCCCTGCTCGGGAGGCGGCGAGGGTGCTGTAGTGACCATGTGCCATTAACTGCACCGTCACGTACAGAGGCAGCATCCTGAAATATGATAAAAAGCTACTGTGTTTCCTAAATTGAGGTTTTTTTGTACTAAAGTCCCCTTAAAGGCAGGTACTGTTTCCTTTGCTGTAAGACTACTGTTACTCAAAATGCATTTTCATTCAGGCAGCCCCATGTGAGCCCATGAGGTGTCTGGATGTAGGTAATTTTGCAGGTTTGCTCTATTCTTCTGTCCGTTCCCGTTGATGATCCCAGGACTGTGAGGAGAGCACCGAGGTATTGAGGAGAGTGCCAGGGCACCTTGACACATGCTGATATTCCCAAGCTTTTCATTACAGGGGAGGGGCTGGTCTCCTCTCTCTGGTGACCATCGATGGCATATGTGGGAATGGAATAAAGCTGTGCCAGGGGAAGTTCACATTGGACATTAGGAAAAGGTTCTTCACTGAAAGGGTGGTGGTCACTAGAACAGGCTCCCCAGGGAGGTGGTCAAGGTACCAAGCCTGTCAGAGTTCAAGGAGCGTCTGGACAACGCTCATAGTTGTATGGTTTAGTTTTAGGTAGTCCTGTGAGGAGCAGGTTGTTGGGCTCAATCCTTATGGGTCCTTTCCAACTTGAGATATTCTGTGATTCTATATGGCACTCACTGTTCACTGATTGCATCAGAAACAACAGTTTCTAAACCAAAGGCAATGACAAAAACCATTGTTCTGTACAAGAGCTTTGCAGATTTGTTCCATGGATGGATCCAGATTTCCTCTCTGGCCTGTTCCTAGGCAGGCTGTAGGATAAACTCAGGTGTGAACACACTCTCAGAGATTGCTGCTACAAGCACAAAAGGAGGCAGATTTAGAGTAGAATTTTTGATATTTTTGCCCAGTCTGCTCAGCCTGTTTTTACACAGGCTTCTTGCATGACAATCTTTTAGACAAGATGTCTCCCTTCTGGTTAGGGGAGCTCTGGGTATTTCTAATTACCTTTGCTTGTTTTGCCCTTGTTTGGACTTGTTATCCTCCGACTGCCAGTAGGCACCTAGATCAAGACAAAACTGTTGTTTAAATCATCTTTGTGTATTCTTTAGTTAGAACATGATACTATTACAAGAGTTCAGCATCTTCCACTGTGAAACATTCAGACTCTCATCAAGCAGATTCTTTTTTTTTTTGCAAACTGAAAATGCTGGATATTTTGGCTCACACTAGAGCTGCCCCTAAACCCACTGGCAGCAAGAATCCTCTCTGAAGTAGCAGCTGTGGAACCTAGGACCTAAATCTAGGACTCTCTAGCAGCTTTCTGTTCAGCAGTTTGAACTCATATCAGCCATGTTCGCTTAGATACTAATAAGAAAATCAAAACATCTTTCCCACTTTGTTTTGCTGGCAGCTAAGAGCAAACTCACTCACCTGCTGCGTTCAGATGAGTCACCAGTAACTTGACTGCAGTGTATGAAGCCTAAGGTAGCGTTAACTGGTGTGCATTTCCAGCTAATTTTAATATATGAAAGTTCGTTATACATGCACGTACATGTTTTGAAGCACTTTAAGATTGTTGCAGTAGCTCCACCATAAGTGGGTATTTTTAGAAAAAGTGTTGTGGATATATCAGAACTGCAGTTCAAAGAAGGAAGTTTGATTGTGGACACACTGCTGTTATTCACATCATCCAGAAAAGCAAAATAGCCTGAGGAAAGCAATTGTATTAAGACTTTATTCTGTAAAAAAAAAAATCACTGCAATATTTAAAGAGTATTACTGACTACATAAAAGCATGCAGTATTGAGTCAAATGGCAAGAGCTGCTGTATATAGTAGTATATTTTTTACATATATATATAAAAAAGTATGCAAATTGTTAAATGGTATGATTAAATTTGGGGGTGATATCTAGCTTCATTTTGGGGTTGTGGCCTGTAAAATGCATTTTGTATAGTTTGCAGGTCAGTATAATCAAGGATTTCTGCTACATGAAAAGTTTACACAAAGGAAGGACTCCCTGGAAGAAATCAAATGCTTCCTCTGGTTTGCAAGAACTATCAAAGTGTCATTTGTTGTGCTATCCAGCTCTTTTTAGTGTTAAAAATGGTTTGAAGGTAAAATTACAGGTCAATACAGAAGGGGACAAAAACTCGCTCTTTCCAACACAGAAATTTTCCTGTGTTTATTTAAGCATCTAGTTTAAGCTCCTTTCTACCCAACTCAACAGCCATCTAGTTGAATTATACTGTTTTGGACTCATTGTGGTACTTTTTTTTAAACAAGCAATGCCATTACCACTACCTGCTTTGGTGCTAAAAGACTTTTAGGGTTCCAGCCATGAAATTTCAGGGTAATTCAGAGTCATTCAGAACATAAATTTCACCAAATTTAGAGGAGTTGCAAGTTCTTCAAGCACAGTTTTGTAAAACTATTCGTAATACTTAATCTCGCAGTGCTACTTTATATCCACAAATACAGAAAGAAACCATGTCCTGGTCTCAGGTGAGATAGAGTTAATTTTCTTCCTAGTAGCTGGTATAATACCATGTTTTGGATTTAGGACGAGAACAATGTTGATAACACGCTGATGTTTTAGCTGTTGCTGAGCGGTGCTTACACTAAGTCAAGGATTTTTCAGCTTCTCATGCTGCCCAGCCAGCGAGGCTGGGGGTGCGCAAGAAGCTGGGAGGGGACACAGCCAGGACAGCTGACCCAAGTGATCCAAAGGGGCATTCCGTACCGTAGGATGTCAGGCTGAACATGCTGAACAACAAAACTGGGGGGAGTTGTCCAGGGAGCACAGTGGCCGCTTGGGGACTGGCTGGGCGTTGATCAGCGGGCGGTGAACAACTGCATTGCACATCACTTGTTTTGTTTATTCTTTCATCATTACTATTACTTTCCCTTCCTTTTCTGTCCTATTAAACTGTCTTTAACTCAACCCATGAGTTTTACCTTTTTTCTGATTCTCTCCCTCATCCCTTTGGGGTGGTGGTGGGGGGGGGGGGGGGGGGGGGGGGGGTGGGAGTGAGTGGCTGTGTGGTGTTCAGCCACCTGCCAGGTTAAACCACACCAATGGCCAAAGAACTTCAGCAAGAACTTTATTCTATAAGGCACTTACATTCACTGTCATGTACAGTAAGCTCTAGTGAAAAACAAAACAAAAATACCACAAACAACAGAGGTAAAGAAAAAACATATTAAAGTATTTCCAGAAGAGAAATCACATTATAGTCCATGAGTCTGGTAAATTTTAAGGCTTTAGCATGGTTTCCACTCCCTGTTCACAGATGCAACATTTTAATTTTCAGTCCTCTCCTCCTGTGGATTTATTTCTAAGGCAGAATCAGGGCAGTGGGAGAGCAAATCAAAATCTTTATGACAGAGGAGCTAATGCAAAAGTTAACTAAGGACTGACAACTGGAAATAAGCAATGAAAGATGAGTACAGAGAACAAACCCCAAATAATTCCAACATCAGGTGATTTCAACTAGAGAAGTCAGAGAGGGAACAGATGACAGAAGTAACAGGCTCAGATGTTTCTCAGCCTCACAGAGGTCATGGGAACAGATGACAGAAATACAGGCTCAAATATGTCAGCCTCACAGAGGGCATTTTAAATAGAAAGGTTTATTGGGCACAGTGGCCCTAACTGTGGAATTTTCTTTTAGTTTTTATCATAATGGACTAAATGAAAGCAAAGATGAATACAGTAACCAAGTTGTGCCACAAGACAAATATAAATCAACTTCTTTGAACAATACATCCCTTCTATGCATATAATACACAAGACAAAATGTTTTATTTGAAAAACAAACATTTGATTCCTTTTAAAGTAACACAGCAACTACATTCCACCATTGTTTCCAAGGTATATCCTCAGGTTGCAAACTGTTCATTTTAGTGGTCAAGCCTTAAAACGATCAACGTATTTGATCTGAAAAGTGCTGCAGAAAGTAAGGTTGATAAAGAGTCAGGTAGAAATATGTAGTGCAGATATATACCCTTGCTAAGGGCTGGGCATTTTTTGTTTGCTTTTGTTTATTTTAAAAACAAACCCTCAGGACAGCATACATCAGAGAGAACTGAAGGCAACCGTACCACAAGCATGAAAGTCCAGGCTATTTAAGCTGCTGTATTAACGCACACAAAACGCTCTCTCCTGTTCGATCTATTAGATGCATCGACTGCTAGTAAACCTACTGTGACCTATGTTTAAAATCCTCTGAGAATCCAATACAAACTCTTCTGTGCCTCTGATTTCCCCATTATAGAGTTTTCTCAAAAACTTTAAAATGGCACTAGTGTTTTATGATAGCATACCCTGAGCAGACATACACCAAAGGAAACTAATTTCAGTTTCCAAGCTTCTGTCAAAAGGGGAAGAGAAAGAAGACTTGTTTCTTTTTTACATTAGGAAGAATATCGTAGTGACTTTCAAATCAGTATATTTATGTCAGTGTTTAATATATGACTGTCTGAAAAGCATAAAGCTTTGTAACTAAGCACTTCCTTTGTGTTTTTGTAACCAAGCACTCATTCCAGCTGTCTTTAATCATGAGATCTCAGTATCTTCTTTCAGAGATCTGTCTTATCCTCATAACGACACATACACACAGCTCTCTGGCTATCCAGGTATGGTTTGCATCCCAGAAGTATAACTGCATCAAACAACAGCTGAACAGTTGATTCACAAGCTGAAACCAAAAAGGAATTCAGTTAAAAGTACTCTTTGAATGGAATATGAAACTAACACATATTAAGAGAGAAGCAATCTTCATCAGATGCAGGCCAACAACCAGAAGGAGTATTATATGGCCTGTTACTAAAACCCCTAAAATTTATTCACTAAGAGATAGTATTAACTACTTCTACTATGACAATATATTATTCTAATATCTTATTTCATAAGAGGAAACAGTTCCGTATTTTCCTACAGTTTACTAGCAATCACATATAGCAGACATTTAGAAATCACCCAGGGGAACAGTCAATATTCAGCTATGTTACAGTAAATACAACAATTACATGCATTTTGATCACGTTGTATTCCCATACTCATATTCCTAAATAGGAAGCATTATTTTTTCCCCTCAGGGTTAGTCTTAATGCTGATCATTTTCCTATGCGGTGTCACTGCTCTGCTGCCCAAGTGTTTGGGCTGCACAACAGAGGGACAGAACAAGGCATCTTTCAGCATCAGCTTATGAAAACATGGCAGTACTGAGCTGCACAGATTCTTTGCCAAATAAGTTCAGTTTAACTTGGAAAAAAAAAGAAAGGCCTTTTCACGCTTACCCTGTACACTTTCTGAGATTCCAAGCGTTTTCTGCACATCTCTGCAAATTTTGGAGAGGCAGGACTGAAACTGTTCATCACAATCATTTTTTTTATTGCCACAAGTATCATAGCATCTGTCATGCTGATTGCAGCACTTTGTCATCGAAGGGATACCGATGTCAAACTGTGAAGAAAACCCCCACACACACTCCATTGGTATTCCAGTTAAGAAAGATACAGCCTATGAACAGACTAACAGAAATGAAAAGCTAATGCAGTTAATCGAGCTGTCAATGGTACCTCTGTATTGTGCTGTTCACATCTAGTAAGCTGTGTAGTTTGGCCCCGGCCAGCAGCCAAGCACCCACAGAGTTGCTCGCTCACCCCCCACCCCCCTCCACAGAATGGAGGAGAGAACAGGAAGAGCAAAAGCAAGAAAACTTGTGGGTCAAGATAAAGGCAGTTTAAGATGAATGAAAGAGGGAAAAAATGCAGTACAAAAGCAACCATTCACCACGTCCCACAAGCAGATGGGTCCTCAGCCAGTCTCTGAGAAACAGCCACCTTGGAAGCCAAACACACACACACTCCTACTACCACCACCCTCCTCCCCTTCTTCCACTACTCCAGTTTTTATTGCTGAACATGACTCTTTGTAGTGCAGAATATCCCTTTGGCCAATTCAGGTCAGCTGCCCCAGCTGTGTCCTCTCCCAACCTCTTGCTGGGGCCCAGCCTATGCTATGGGGCGATGGATATGCAGAGTGGGGAAAAAAAGAGAAAGTCCTAAAGCTGTGCAATCACTGTTCAGCAATAGCCAAAACCATAAACACTGTTTTAGCCCCAAATCCTAAACATGCAGCCTGCTATGGAGAAACTTAACTCCATCCCAGCCAGACCCAGTATATCAGCTAACTAAGATTTTCTTTCTAGCATTAAGGAAAATGGATTAGCATCAGTAAGGACAGCAAGAGTCACAGCCAAACCCTCCACTCGTACAGGGCTACAGTTGGGGTGATTCAATGCTTTCAAGGTCATGAGAACAAAACACTCCACCAAGCATTAAAAAATTAGAAATTAATTCCATTTCATCCCTACAATATTTTATGTCAATGATAAAAAGGTTTATGCTATGTTTGTTTAAAATACTAATATTTTCCATATGTTGTCAGCAAAGCATGTGTTGGTGCTGATAAAAACAGGGACATTGTATACAGATGCTGTCTCATCTTTAGAATGGGGGACAGAAAAAAATACCCACATCAAGGAAATCTGATGTATGAAAGACAAGCAAAGCAGCCCCCAAATGGAAATGCTTACCTGAACTCCAAATAGAGGGGATCCACAACCATTTGGTGGTGATGGTTTATATCCGTAGCGAGGAAAGGGCTTCGATCCTGAAAAAGGGAATTTATCATGCCTCAAACAGATTTTTTGCACAGAATTTTAGTACTATTAAAACTCACCACAGGCATTTGTTGGGCTTAAGACAGTATCAGTTATATTTTTCTATATCAGAATGTCACATCTCCCTGAACACTTACTACTGCAGCAAGCCAGGGGATTCTGTATCCCAAGTTAAGGATGACTGTGGAGTTAATATGAAAAATGACCATCTGGTTTCGGTATTGGAAACAAACTGAGGCCACAATCAAAAGCAATGGAGAAGAAAAAACATATCTGAAAAGTGCATATTCTAGTACAGAAAGAAAATGTCGCGGTGTCCTGGGCACTCTCGTGGAGCCACCACCAAACTCACTTCCTGACTTAACAAATAATCCAACCCAGTAAACCGGGGGCAAGTGGATTCAGCCGAGAGACACCAAGAGGGTCTACAGGAACCTCCTGTTTTGGGGCGCTCCTGAAGCGCCGGTGAAACGCCCGGCAAGAAACCCCCGCTGCGGAGGGAGCATCGCCCGCCTGGCACCCCTCTGCGGGGGACGGGGACGACAGGGGAGCTGCCTCCGGGCAGGTTATATATA